GATATTGATGAGTGTGAGAATAATAATGGAGGTTGCTCTCATATGTGTAATAATACAATTGGATCTTATCATTGTGACTGTTTTGATGGATATGTCATTGATCAATCAAACAATTTGGACTGTAGAGGTATAAATGATACTTATTATTAGCTTAAGACAAATTCCAACATTTGTAGACATTGATGAATGTGTAGAAAGGAATGGAGCTTGTGAGCACATTTGCACTAACACAAATGGAAGCTTTGAATGTTCTTGTTATACTGGTTACAATGGAAGTGTGTTTTGTTCAGGTACATTGTAATTATTTATGATAATAAAGTCTATTCAGTTTCACCTGACCTATTGATTTTTTGTTATAACTTTTGATAAACATGGAATTTAGAAATTTTGTTTGTACCATTAGAATCGCTAGGTCCTTCCTGTCCTTTAGATAAAAAGATCGGTCAAAATGATAAGTCCTTAGCCTTTTTTGGATGTCCCTGTATAAACTCAATGACATACCTTTGACCGCAATTATGCAGCTAGAACAGCCAGAATAAATTCAGCTGCTACTTATCTGCATCCTTTCGGTGCAACAAAAACAATTCCAAAACCACAAATACGTTAAGAATGCGGATGTGACGTAGTTATTTATTAATTAAAAAAAGCCAGGGGTCAGGTGAAAGTGAATAGACTTTAGTTTCAGTTTACTAGATATTAATGAATGTACCGAGAATATTACCAATTGTACTCAAGAGTGCATTAATACAGATGGTAGTTATTATTGTGAATGTGACAATGGATATTATTTGAGCAATGACAATCACACATGTATTGGTTAGTTTGATGATATATTTAATGATAAAACTATTATTAATTTTGATACAGATATTGATGAATGTACAAATGGAACTAATTTGTGTGATCAAATATGTATTAATGATGCTGGCTCATATCATTGTGATTGTGACAATGGGTATTTATTAAGCACTAATAACATCACTTGCAATGGTAATTGTAAAGAAGTGGATATTAGTAATTCAATGTTCAATTTTGTAGACATTAATGAATGCAATGGCACTAATAGTACAGATGTTTGTGAACACACTTGTCACAATAATATTGGTTCATATTATTGTACTTGTGATATAGGTTATATACTAAATACTACCAACAATAACACATGCAATGGTAAGTATATCAGTGTATTTTAATAAAGTAATAATGACAAATTATAGATATTGATGAGTGTGATGAAGGAATAGGTAACTGTATTCAAATTTGTAATAACACTATTGGTAGTTATACTTGTGACTGTAAGACTGGATTTGAGTTAGATAGTGATGGATTAACATGTAATGATATTAATGAATGTGATTTGAATAATGGTGGATGTGAAAATATTTGTAATAACACTATTGGAAGTTATAAATGTTCATGCGAAGAAGGATATTCTCTTAATGGTACTTACAATTGTACAGGTATGAATAATTATGCAAATCTCTAAAGCCAATTTTTACACCCATAGATATTAATGAATGTAGTATTAATAATGGTGGATGTCAGCATGATTGTTCTAATATACCTGGATCTTACGTTTGCTTATGTATCACTGGATATAACTTAACTAGCAACGCACATAACTGCTCAGGTAAGTTATGTTACAGTCAATAATGTAATAATCCTCTCAATTTGTACTTTTTGTACTATCATTCTATTTATTTTGTAGACATCAATGAATGCAATCAACCAAATTATTTTGCATGTGAACAAAGTTGTTATAATACAATTGGCTCATATTATTGTGAGTGTAATAATGGATTTGTACTTAATGCTAAAACCAATAAAACATGCAATGGTAAGTATATCAGTGTATTTCAATAATAATAATGAATTATTAATAGACATAGATGAGTGTGATGAAGGAACAGGGAACTGTAATCAACTGTGTAATAACACTATTGGTAGTTATACTTGTGACTGTCAGACAGGATATGAGTTAAATAGTGATGGATCAACTTGTATTGATATTAATGAATGTGATAGTAACAATGGAGGGTGTGATGGAATTTGTAATAACACACAAGGAAGCTTTATATGCCTATGCTCATCAGGATACTATTCAGTTGGTAAAAAGTGTATTGGTAAGTTAGTAATTGCATACGCTGCAAAAATAGTTAAAACAACCCATAAGTGGTGAAATAGACTCAGAGTATAGAGTCTTAATTGTTTGCTGTATAGTTCATTATGATCAACTATTATACAACCTAGTGCTATATTAATTTGATTTCTTTATTTAGACATTGATGAATGTAGCTCGGGAAATGGTGGTTGTGATCAACATTGTAATAATACTGTTGGCTCTTATTTTTGCTCATGTAAAAGTGGATATACTTTATCATTTGATGGGCACAACTGTTCAGGTTGAACATGTAAATGTCATTAAGTTCTATTATTAATGAATGTAGATATCAATGAATGCCATGAAAATAATGGACTTTGTACTCAAACTTGTACAAATACTAATGGCAGTCATTACTGCAGTTGTAAAACTGGATTTTATAATACAACAAAAGATGGAAGATATTGCTCTGGTTAGTATAAAATGCAATGCTTATTAATTATTTTTTTCAGATATTATTGAGTGTGATACCAATAATGGAGA